GAGAGTAGTAAGACTTACACACGTCACTGGGAAGATACTCGGAGCTGGCTGCTCTTCGCACCAGCTCCTCCGACTCGCCTTTTCCTTTCTTTTTCTGCAACCATCGCCGGCCTTATCGCCGTTCCCACGGCTTATCGCAACGGCGAACCAATTGTCGTCGTGTCGATTGCCCTCTCGTTACCGATCAAAACTCTCTCTCTCTCTCTCTCTCGGTTCCTGCTCCCCCCTCTCTTCTTTGTTCGAGAGAAGAAGAATCGAAACGAACGTCGATCACGATCGATCGTGTACGAACCGACCGCGAGCTTAACGGAACAAACTCGCGGCGCCAACTAACCGATCGATCGATCGATCGATCGATCGATCGATCGACCGACCGACCGACCGACCGACCAGCGGCGAACGAAACTCCGAACGCGGAATCGTCGCGGTCGTGGTCGCGATCGGTCGTATCGCGATCTCCCACGACCGTTCACAGTCGCCGAACGTGCTTCCTGTCACGCGCCATCCGCGCGCAACAATCGTTGGCAACGTTGCCAACGACTTTTTTTCTTTTCTTCTGCTTCGACTTCTGAGTCGACGAAAAAAAAAAGAGCAAAGAAAAAACATAGTTGCGTAAAACAACAAAGGTCGGAAAGGACAGAAAGGTCGGGGATCCTGACGGAGAGAGGACGGTGCAGCAGCAGCAGCAGCAGCAGCAGCAGCGCGACGATCGACGTGGACGTTTTCGCGCGGGAATTCGAAGACGTAAATAGCGAGAGGTCGACTTTGCTCTAAAATTATTCGACCGGTTCGGACGATTGGTTCGCCGCGCGGTCACGTAGTCGTCGCGCGACTAGAACGTGGCTAGAACCTCGTCGTTTGTTCTGCCGGTCGCTTCTTCTTCTTCTTCTTCAATCTCGCGAAATTTCCGAAATTCGAGAGACGAGAGTGTTGGTCGTGAGACATGACGTCGGAAGCGTCGGAAACGTCTTACAGGAACCTGTGCTCCCTGGAAACTCTCAGATCCGGAAGCAAGGGATTCTTTCGTGATTTCAGCGAGAAGGTGATTCGAGTGGTCGGCGAACAGTGGATCGACAAGGTTTTCGGCCGACTGACCAGCGACGAGGACCGAGTCCGCGTCGTCTTCACCGACGCCAAGGTCAGGGACACGGTGCTGGAGACGCTGAACCGAACGGAGATTCTCTACCGCGGCAAAGACGCAAGCGTCTCCAGGGCGAAGAGGCTCGAGGGATTCGAAGCGGCAGCCGCCGCTCGCCACCGCGACGCTCTCCTCCTCTTTGGTCAAGCCGTCCTTCGCGCTCCTCCTCTAGGTAGGTAGTTCTTCTCTCTCTCTCTCTCTGTCTCAAGTCTCTCTCTCTCTCTCTCTCTCTC